TTACGTGGTGCTAGGGATTCAAACCGCCAAACTGCCGACATTGCTGACCAACAAGCTCAGCGTCTTAGCCACTGAGCCACCGCGTCCCTTAGGAATCTTATAAAGGGAGCATGGCTATTGAAGTCATAATTTACCCTCAAATGACAAATAAAGTGTTTGTGGAAAAGATGAATACATCATACAAGTCTATGTTATAAAATTAAATAGAGTTCACCTCTTAGAGATCCTTCATTTAGTACCCGCAGTGCCACGTAGCTCACCTTTTCTTGGCACTTGGGACAGACCCATACTCCTTTCGGAACAGTCTTCAAGGGAGGATCCAAGCAGCTGAGGTGATAGGCCCTGCAGCATGTTCCACAAGGTTGTAAGTTGGCACCATGCTTGCACGCTGAACAGTATTCCTCATGGCTGACCTCATTCTGAAAGACGGCAAGGGTAAAATTGAAGCAGATCCTCAGAAGCAGACATAGGTTTTTTTGGCCCGCATTTTACTCAACAAGCACCAGTAGACCATCATATCACCTCAAAATCTCACTTGTTTATTCATGAGGGCTCATTGGTGCTCTCTGAGCTCGGTTGTGTTCTTGCAGACGTTTCATTACCCAAACTACGTAACATCATCAGTGCTAGTGGCAGCAATAAAGGAAAGTATATGTAACTCGGGGTTGAAATGAGAGGTCTTCTGCTAACACTGATGTTACCTGGGAAGGATTGAAAAATGTTAGCAACCAATTCTTTGCCTGGTTCCTGGGTGGCCATAGTGGGCGTGGCCTGCTTGGCCTCCTGCACCACAGTGTGGGGGCATTTTTGCCTTCCCCAGACTCCGGAGGCTTCCTTTGAGCCTCCGGGAGGGCAACAATGGGCTCCCCAGGCTCCAGGTGCCCTCTGGACGCCGGAAACAGGCTCATTTCTGGACTTCCGGGAGACCTGTTTTTCGCCCTCCCAGAGCCTCTGCATGGGCCCTGCACTTACCTGGCATGATGAACAGACTGCATGGAGACTCCTGGAAGGGGCATGGTGGGGGTGGCCAGCCAGTCCTTGCAACTATTGGTTTGGCGAAGCAGATGTAAAATAAACATCCGATTCGCCCAAACTGGTCCGAACTGGCTGAACCCCACACCTGGATGTTACCTCGTTTGGGTAATGAAACATCTGCAAGGAAACAACCCAGCTGAGAGAGCACCAAGAACCCCTCATGCAACCTTGAGATACAAATATTCTCTTTTATTAGTATGTATTAATTCGCAAGCTTTCTTCCTAGGATCACATCAAAGATCACTACCTAATTATCACTATGCCTTGCAACTAAATATGAATGTCGGGTGTTCATCATTCTCAGGAACAGGGAGTGAACGCCACTACAGGTAGTCCTCAACTTACAACACTTTGTTTAGTAACTGTTCAAAGTTACAATGGCACTGAGAAAAGTGACTTACGACCGTTTTTCACAGTTATGACCATTGCAGCATTCCCCTGGTCGTGTGATCAAAATTCAGACACTTGGCAACTGGTTCATATTTATGACCTTCGCTGTGTCCCAAGGTCATGTGACCCTCTTTTGCGACCTTCTGATCAGCAAAGTCAAAGGGGGAAGCCAGATTCACTTAATAACGGAGGCAAGAAAGTTAGTAAAATGGGGCAAAACTCACTTAACAAATTTTTCACTTAACAACAGAAATGTTGGGGTCAATTGTGGTCGTAAGCCGAGGACTACCTGTGCACTGAAGGTTCCCAGTAACATTAGCTGCTTTAATGGTTCAAGGAAGTGTGCTTTGTCCATGTCAACATACTCTGCAAATGCCTGTATCCCTCAGATGCTTTAATCAAGGAAGGTGATCCTGATTGACAACGCAATGAAAATGCCAATTTAGTACACAACAGCTGTGAAAGATGGAAATTACACACTTGGAATTGTGATGAAATTAATCAAAAAATAGAATTGCCTCTATTGCATTGTCCTAATACATGTAGAATACAATAATAATTATCTATCTCAAATGAGAACTTTAAAGACTTTTCTTTTTTAAAAAAAAAGATAGTCATCTATCTTTGTTTCCTCAGAATGATAAAGGTAAAGGTTCCCCTCACACGTATGTGCTAGTCGTTCCCGACTCT